TTCATTTTCACTATCGCGGACCTAATGGACGGATAGCCTATATATGTTGATAGTTCTCCCGCAACAATACTATTCATTATAATTATTAATGTGCTTAATGTGTAATGTGCTGCACTGTGTGTTAACGTATCTTAATGGTGTAACTGCGCGGGTGCCAACAAACACTTACAATTGTACCACTTCCACCCTCTACATCAAAATATTATATATAGTCCAAAATTTAACCTCTAATCTAAAAGTTTTCTCTTCAATCCTAAAATTTTTAATTTTTTGCAAACCAAATTTTCCCCCTTTAATCCAAAATTTTACCTCTAATACAAAATTTTTCCCTTTATAGCCAAAAATTTCCTTTTCATCTCAAAAATTTTCCTAACAGTCTGCCTCACCCTGCTACTCGTTAGCGACCTGATACGATGCCAGTAGCGCGGTAAGTAATGACACATTATTTGTAATATATGCGGTGGCCGCCACTACATTCAACGTAACTGAACTTTCTTAAACCGCCGGGGACATCTATTCAACGCATCCATATTTGTATTCATACCATCTCCTTAGATATTTAACCTAAAATAAATGTTTAATAGACTGAAAATTTATGTATTTCTTGAATCCCTATATGTTATTCAAGCCATATGAGTGAAGGTTCAATGCATCAGTGATATAATCACTGCCTTGAAAATACAATAGATTGTCGTTAAATAATTCTATTTATTTCCTATGCATTCTAACGTGTTAGACAATAAATGATAAACGACAGACAAATGATGCTACTAGCGTTGCTCATAAGTGTGTTACAGTATGATCAATCATTTTAATCGTTTGTTAATCGGCAACGTGACTTTAGAGGGTGACTAAAAGAGCAACCGTTTTAGACGTTTATTGTTCAACAACGTTTCTTTTGAGGCTGAATAAGGAGTAACCGTTTTAGTCGTTTATTGTTCAACAACGTCTCTTTAGAGGGTGACTAAAGAGCAATCGTTTTAGTCGTTTATTGTTCAACAACGTCACTTCAGATGGTAACTAAAGAGCAATCGTTTTAGTCGTTTATTGTTCAACAACGTCTTTTTAGAGGGTGACTAAAGAGCAATCCTTTTTGTCGCTTATTGTTCAACAACATCTCACTAGAGGGTAACTAAAGAGCAATCGTTTTAATCATTTATTGTTCAACAACGTTTCTTTTGAGGCTGACTAAGGAGTAACCGTTTTGGTCGTTTATTGTTCAACAACGTCACTTTAGAGGGTGACTACAGAGCAATTGTTGTAATCGTTTATTGTTGTTAAGAAACATGACTGGGAAGGGTAACTAAAGGGGTAGCATTTAGGTGCCACCAGGCTCATCAGTTACCATGTGAACATCGGCACCTAGATCTGCTTTTCACAACCAGGCACCTAGATGCTGACACCAAGCACCTATAGTTTGTTCCTGGTCAAATTAAGTGCGCTCACCTTATCGTCTTATTGCACTGCGTTGTAGCATGGCTTCAATCCTCCTCCGATGTATTTTGCATGTCCATTTTGTATGTTGTATGTTTTTGTATGTTGCAGCGTCCATTGCTGCGAAAATATGGATAGACCGTTAATTGACTTTTATTAGAACACGAATTTTACCATAAAAACTAGTGACTCATCAGCACCTAATTTAAATTTAGAAATTAATCAACATTTCAAGATTTCTCGAATTTTCATGATGTTCCTTCGTTCAAAAAGGATTATATTACCCCAGCAACATCATCTTCATGACGCTGTATAATGACATGAAAAGAGCATGGCATTTCTGCAGGATAAGTCATGAATGCTAATATTCATCTTTGGAGTTACCCGTAGAATTAATAAATGTATAAAATCATTGATTGTGATCTACTTCATTAACTGAAGGTACAATACATCATATCGTATCCAACGACCAGATATAAATTGTAACCACTACTTATAATTCAATTCATTTAATATTAAAACCAGTAAGAATGACAAAGTTTTAAGCTTGTAAGTTCTACTCTCAACCGAAAATAAACTTGAAACTGTCTTTAATTCTTCGATTCCATCGCTTCAATGCATCACATTTGAACACTTCAAGCAGAATTTATTATTTTATATTATTATTGTTATTTTTATTTATTATATAATTTATTATATTTCATAAGCAGAAAATAAGTGCAACAGAGAGCCGCAATGCAGCCATCATGAGATCGTCATCAGGGACAACATTTTAACCCAGATCACGAATCGAGATAGACTATTTTTGAAGTTGTTGCAGATATTTAGACGGAAACCTTTTCTTAATTAATAATGCGCACAGTTCTAATCCTCCGGAAATTGTACATCGATAGATTTTTTGCTGCGTTGTCGTTTTCTCGTTACTTTGGTTTAATTTGTTAAGTTTATATTCAGTTTATCACTGATTATTGCACTTGTAGTCTACGGAAATTTTTGAACTGATGATGGAGCTGGTGATTCGAAACATTTATATTGAAGTTATTATGATTTCACTTGGCATTTTATTTGATTTTAAATTCTTGGTGGACTTACGATTTAAGCACATTAATGATATAAGTATTTATAAAGTAAGATACCATCGAGATTCGAAAAAATATGTGATTTAATGTCATTCGCATTTCCGAAAATCAATAAATGTCACCAGAGCCTATCCCTGACGCCCGTGGAAGGAAAATAAAATACGATTTAATTTACTTCTTACACTTCTCATGCTCATAGTCTGTTCTCTTAACATACAAAAATGCTACAGATGGCAGAACTCGCATAAGTCATTGAGACGGTCATGCGAGGTTTAAATAATTGACCCTTTTAAACATTTATATTCAAGGATGGTAAACGAGATCGACAATCTATAAGAATGTCAATTAACACAAATCTAAGTAAATAGATTGAGTTAATCTGAGCACAACAGAAACAGAGTCGACGAGCGTCAAAATATGTAATGGCTTTCAACACCATAAGTTCCCTATATAGAAATTAATAATCTAATCTAATTAATTAAGTAATTAAATAAAAAAGAATTTATTATTTAGCCCGTAGATTTCAGACTGATAAATTTCAACTGCAAATCAGGTTCATCCAATAACAGTATCAGAGCATCTTTGCTCGCAGTCATACGAAGATTCACCTTTTCTGTTGGTAATTTGACAGTAGAAAATAGCACCTACATCAAATAGCACCTAGAAAATAGCACCTACTTCAGTATGTTACAGGATACACCGCGCATACACTAGGCCATTTTACTAAAGAACAGTAAGAGTTACAGGCGACAGGCTGAGTTTATCAATTTTGCTAAAGTAATTAGAAATACCTTCACTGTAAAAAATAGATATTAGCAAAAGCGTGAAAACCTGCCAAATCTTATATCAGAATTAATTTTTACCCGAAATATTTTTCTTTTCCTTCATGCCGATTTAGTTCGCTTTTTATCACCACAACGGAGGATGCGGTCGTGCCTATTACAGCCAAAAATTCTTTCTCAAACCGGAATACAAAATATCGTGTGTGCAGCTGATTGAAAAATTAAATTCTAATTCTGAGGTTTATGCGGGAGCAATAAAACCTTCTGTTTCATCAGTCACCGAGGCGGCATCCATGCGGGCCAGCGCCACGGTGGATGTCGCATCCGCAATCAAAATTTTCCAGTAAATTTCTCAATGACAGGCAGAGTGCCAGCTGCTTCACAAACACAGTGTTGACATTAACATGTCAAACAGCATCCGTCAACCGCTTCACGTTCTTCAAACACAATGCAAAATATGGACATACGCGTTATATATAGTTCATAGAAGTTTACAGTTGTTAAGTTGACAAAACTTAGGTTGCACGAGTGTTTAATGTCTGAGCAACACATTTTAAAATCCGATTTATTGATTTTTCAACAATTAATTTATTGTTAAATCAATTTGAAATTTTTATTTGACGATGAAACTTGCAAGTTCTGGCAAACTCGGGCGCTCTCTCAACACTGTTTAGAGCCAAGCCACAGTATCCATGTTACTAAACTTGTGATTAATTATCATTCCCGACTCAAACATCAGTCTTTGTAATACAGTGAGATTAGGAAAACATTACTATGTTGTTTGCAAGTCTGCACCAGTGAAACAAAAATGATACAATTAGGGTTTAGAACTCATTAATCTTATCTGAATTAATTACTTCAGCTATGTACAACTTTGAACAAATAATAATCGAAATCCTTCATTGGACAATAAATATGCTTGCCTTTGTTTTAATGTTTAGGTAGCACGCAATCTTTAATCCAGGAAAGCGGAGCATAAAGGGAGTAGTTGTAGAACTGGCCATTTAACAGCGAGTCCCCCTAATTCAGCTGTGCGCAGTGCGCACTCACGCGGCAGTCATGCCCATCATACGTGTGACGTGCCAATATTCTATAGCGACTAAGATTTTAGTTTCCACCTCTGATGATTCCGAATACGTTTTCTGGAATCCTAGTATATTTTCATAAAGAGGTCTAGTTTGAATATAGCCTTTAGCTGTCGTCCACTTGAAAGTTAGAATGGACAGGTTTTTCATGTTGTTTTAATTACCTTTTATATGTAAATTTAATTTTTGGCTTGTTTTTTTATCTCAATTGTACTAACAACTGATAGTATCTTTGTTCTAGAAATTTCTAATTGAAGATGGAGTAGGACTACAAAAAATTTTATTTACAGATGTGATGAATTATTGTGGAATTCTCTTTGCTTTTAAAAGTCGAAATACTTTCTCCAAGAAGAGTCAAAATCGGACAAAGGCTCATGTCACTCACTAAATAGGAAATGAAAAATGGAATGAGTTTTCCTCAACGTTTATGGAAATTTACTTTATCGATGTTGACCGTACATTATGGGTTTTATCGCTCAATCGTAAATTGCTTTAATTCCGGTTTCCGTAGAGGCTTAAATGGCGTGTATGTCAGTTCTCTTATGAGTAGGTTTACAGCAAAAATTGTACAAAGAGTAGAACGCTCCCGTAGAATGGTATGACTCCCGCAACGACCGTACCTCACGCGCGCGTTTGCTGCCGTATTCCAAAAGACCGTACCGCAGCTGTAGCCGCGCGTCCCCGCGGTCGCTGTTCTTCATAACCGTCGTGTCGCGCTGATATATACGTCTCACGGTCAGTCTGGCCTTAGGTTTATCGTAACGGATCATGGCTGAAGGACTTCATTTTATTATTTCTAATTTTTGTGCTATAATTTCGTAAAAAATTTCCTTTGCATTCCATGACATGACATAATCATAAGGCTTCTATCTTAAAAGTGGGTTTTTAAGATCCTCATCAATAATACTTAGTACACTTTTCGAATTAGGAAAATGATTCACAAATCTCGAAGATTATCTATCCATAGCCCTCCTATCCTGTGATGGAAAATACGGGTATAATATAAGCACCCTGCAGATGGGCCATTGTCCATTGATGATACTCTCCTAGAGAGGGCAATAACAACACTGGTCTGGAAACGGCAGAATTTATGACCATCTAGATTGAACATTTACAAGAATCCTCTAGATAGAACATAAAACACACTCCTCTAGATGGGGCATGAACAGCACTCCTCTAGATGAGGCATGAACAGCACTCCTCTAGATGGGACATGAACAGCACTCCTCTAGATGAGGCATGAACAGCACTCCTCTAGATGAGGCATGAACAGCACTCCTCTAGATGGGACATGAACAACACTCCTCTAAATGGGGCATGGACAGCACTCCTCTAGATGGGCCATGAACAACACTCCTCTAGATGGGGCATGAACGGCACTCCTCTAGATGGGGCATGGACAGCACTCCTCTAGATGGGGCATGAACAGCACTCCTCTAGATGGGGCATGAACAGCACTCCTCTAGATGGGGCATGAACAGCACTCCTCTAGATCTGTCTCTTATACACATCTAGATGTGTATAAGAGACAGANTCGTGCACTTCTGCTAAATATTTACGAGTCAGTATCTTTACCTGTGCCCAGTAAGGCAGTCCCATGGTCATCGGCGAATCGTCAACCACCCAGCGCCATTGCCCTTCCACGGCATCATCGGTGCCCCCGATCCAATAGTCACGGGGTTCTTATTCAGAAAAGAGATAACAAATCTTAGGGATAAGGAATTAAGTTTCGAAATATTATTTTGAATAAAACCGCTGCTCTTTCCGTAGCACTCACGATATAAATGTCACTAAATTGAAAAAGGGAAGTTCTTCAGAGTTAACCACTTTCTGAAGGCTTTAGGCTGGTGGGGGTAAATAATCATGGTAATAATCATGGTATGAATTGACTCCATTTCAACCTAGGGTATGCAGGTCTACATCACTCGCGTATTAAACCTCAACCTCACAGCTCTGGTCTTAGTTATCTTAATACAATTTAACCGTACAAGATCTTCAGGGTTTGATAGTTTGCTAGGCAGTGTTTATTTTGATAGATTATATAGAACTTTTCAAACGGTTACCTTGTTCAGCGAGGTAGAGGGCAACCTTGTGGTACTGATCGCAGTCGTCGAAATAAATCAGATCACCATGGACGCCAACACAATGGTCGAAACGAGCGGCATGCCAGTTGTCTTCGGTCGTAATTATGTGAATACACTGAGTGCCAACCATAACAAAAGGATCTTCGCAGACGCCTGTTGTAGAATACATATCCATGATGTTATATATAGAATGCCGTGGACGATATTATATTATCAAATCTTGGAAGCTGGATATTACTTCCAGGACCTGCCGAACTTTGAGAAGTCATTGCATTAGAGATTAGCTCTACTTTGCCAAGGGTCCAGCCGTTCGTGCGTTCAATCTGACTTAACTCAGTTTTATTCAAGCCCCTATATCCTGTTTAACTGGAATATTCATCATTTCAAATTTTAACTCTAATATCAGAACTATAGGTATTGTCATGCAAATATTAACGTAAGCGTTTTATGTACAACAAGCAATGTTTATGGAACCCTCAGGTAAAAGGTGTGCTGAATGTCAGTAAATATTTATTGATACAAGCCTCAAGTTCAATACGTACCATGTCGCAATAACATCAGAATGAAATCAAGCAAGATAAAACGATAAAAATTCGGAAATAAACAGGTAGACTGCACAGAGATTTCATCAAGCATATTGCATGATGCCCCTCACCTAATATTTTTTATTGAGCCGGAGAGCTGTAAGTTTTTTAGCTCTCCTTCATTCTGGTTACTTTTCCTTCTACTTTTTGATTATCTTGAAGCATCTATTGAATTATTTCACTTTGCCGTGAAATTTTCTAAGATATCAACCTAGTATTGAAAGCTAACTCCTGAAAATTAAACTGTCAGGTCAAAGTTTACGTAAAAACTCATAATAAATTGTTACGTCTGCAGTTTGCTCGTAAAATTCTTTCGATGGGATTAATTTGGCAGTTGACTGCATAAAATAAGCAAAATCTTAGAACAAATTCCTCCACAAAGAGTTTATTCTCTGTACTTTGCTGTTCAGGATACTTTGCAAGGCTTCAAAACAAAAGAGTAACTCACCATCTATTATATATCTTCGGCACAGTGGATATTTTGCGACTCCACATTTGGCGTCTTCGAATAACTGGGCCGAGGCACTTATATAAGCACAGTTCTCACTCCATCCACCCGAAGGTTCCGTTGTCAAATTATCTGCAGTATTCTGAGGAATATATCTAATTAGAGGGAGCTGCTGAAAGTTTTTTGATCAATTGTAATAACATGAAGCACTCAATGCAATGATTGGTCAGCTGTAATATTTCTAGCGCTAACTACTGAATGTCATCACTCAATAAAGATTCCCTACTACCCAAATAATAATTAAGGGTGGCGCACCTAAGGTTTAGGTAGGCATACCTATAACCAAAGGTACGCCTTACTTGTAAAATGTGTTTCGGTTAGATTACTAGTCAAAAACTCTGTTTTTTTTGGAAAAAAATATCTTCCTTACGCTGAAAGATACAAACAGTTCTCGATGGACTGACATTGATATTGTAATTTATCTACTTATGAGAATTTGCTGATCTTGTCACATAATTATTTTGATTTAAAGTTTACATATATAAAAATGTGATCTCAGCATCATTCCTACGTGACAGATTATCCATATATTAGGGTAGAGAAAAAACATCGGCGCGGATTGATGGAAGAATTCCACCCTTGACTTTTCAAATTCGAGTGATGTCAATTCCATCCTCTAAACTTCCCATTTTGAAAACGGATATAATGTTTAAATAAACGTCTGTATATAATAAACGGAATTTCAGCTGCCATTTTCCGGAACATAGTAACGTGTTGGAGTAAACAGTGGTTAATGGAACTATCTAATCAGCATAGTAGTGGCATTTATTAATAATAATTGATGAAATTTAAAACTGCAATACTTCAGTTAAATCTCTCAAAATTACTCGTATGGTAAGTCCTCTCCGAATCTCCGATGTCTCAGCGGTAGAGGCTTGGTTTTGCGCGCGGGAGACTTGAGATCGCTCCGAGCAGGCAGGAGCTTTTATCCAAGTCGATTTCTCACGAATTTTGTACATGGCACTGTGGTTATTTGTTCCTGCTACATTTCCGATTTGTTGCTTGTATCGCCATGTTTGATGTGTATACGTAATCCTAAAAATGTTTGATCGTATTTGGAAGGAATGTCGAGCGATGTGAGAATGCACAAGCATTGGATTTAAAACTAAAGGAAAATTTTTGTCGACCTAATCCGAGAGGTGGTCATTGATGGCTCATCGATTCGCCATCGGCGCCAGTGGGCAAATTATTTGTAGAAGAAGGGTTTTTAAATTAAGGTGGCCATCAGCAGGATATAGGTGTAACATAGGGGTATGTTCCCTATGGGCTGCAGGATATATAGGACATGCCATCGATGCGCCTTCGGTGCTCTCCACCTATAAGCCACCAATAATCATCGATGCTCCACCAATAATTTTTATTTGGGAAGGCCGAATCAAACACAAACATAAGATGAGTGAGAATAACGATTAGTGTTCTGAATCTTTATAAATTAAGACTGCAAATCGCTGTTATTTCTAACAGGAGAATTAAGAGTGATTTTTTGTACGAGACTCTCTGAACTTCACCTTCTGTTTTCAGTTAATTCTAAGTAAGCTCACCTCAACATTATAATACTGTTTTTCACATTTTATTGTTCAATCCTATTGCATCTGGTCGTGACTTAGTTGAGCTTCATTCATTTTCAATTTCATATTAAATATACTTCCTTTTAGCAAATATGTTGAGTCATGTACAGAAATAACATGGATTGACTCACCATGGCCCAGTACGGAGCGCCCATTTGCACGGCCGCTCCGTCACTCCACTGCCAAACATTGGTGAGCGTTCCATTGGTCGCGCCTAACCAGTAGCCGTTGTTGAAATCAGTTGAGTCTGATGGAGTGCAACGGTAATAGTAATAGAAATATTATTATGTATTAATAATATTAATTAATATAGAGCTTTAAGCGTTGATTAGAGCCTCTTGGCCTGTCGCCGACTCTTAACTACCTGGCCACCTATTCGAGTTTAGCAGCTTTTGCACCACTAACCAGTTAAAATTTAGATCCGCCTCAGCTTCTGATTCCTCGAATCAGAAGCTGAGGCGCTCTGCATTTGGTTAGGGTAGCAGCTGCTCTGTCGCCTCAAGCCGAGTGGTACGGACACCTGACATTTTCGGCTATCACACAGAAGCTGTGGTGTGTTGTGCACAGGGTCAAATGTGAGTGAATAAGTACTGCAGTATTAGTTTCGAATCAAATTCTTCCGCCTGCGACTAACACGGCATGCCGACCCACCAAGTTTTCAAAAATCAGTGCTGAGGCATGCACAGTGTTAGTCTAATGATAATAGAGTCACAATGATAGTGCAAAAAAATCAATCAGAAGTCCTTTTACAGATGAATTATGTTCACTGATATTCCGGTCCCACTACATATCAAGTTGAGGCATAGGAAGAGACTTTTTGCTAAAATTGACTTCTAACTTATGAGGGTCGACTTACAATGTTTCTAATATGACAAACATTTTGAAAACAAAATTTTTAAACTCTGCAAGTTTATTGAATTTAACATGTTTTCTGTTATAACCTTACATCCATCATTGACATAGGTGGTGACATCAATGAAGGAAGCGCAGTCTTTAAGCACAGGCAGCCTGCCGAAGTGCTGGGTGCAGTAAGTGGCCGCTTCGTCGTACGTCAGATATCTACCCGTGTAACGGTGGATGCACTTGGACCCGACGACCTCATAGCTTTCAGGACAGTCGGCTGCCACAGCGCCTGCCATATGAGAATTCGAATTTGATAATACAATCAATTTGTCATGCCTAGGTGTGTAAATTATACGAAAACTGTAAAACTAGGAGCAAATGACAACCAATGAAGGCTTTGGGGCCATTCCATGACAGGTGAACAAAGAGTACCCACCTGACCAATTTAATAGAGAAGCAAACATATCTCAGTTCATATTTCAACCCGAATAGGAAAAAAATTTCAGCTGAAAATACGAAAAACTTTAAAATTATGGGCCCGCAAAGAGGGGTGGTGAAATTGTCCCCTATGGCGCGGTTCAAAATCTCCAAATTCAGGTCACTGCTGCGCTTGCCACTGATTTGGATATTAAGGTTTCTGTAGAACTCAAGAAGGCGCTTCTAAAAAATTGTTTCAATAGTTTATTGTTAATAATTTTCGTGTATAATGAGGTCAAGCTTGGTCAGAAATCAAAAGAGCAGATACAATTCACAAGTTTAGTGCCCTGTATATCATAGGAAAATTAATAAATCTCCATGATACCAGTACAGTCTTTTGCCAACATACGTTACGTTGTATACATAAAATATTGACTAATAATTCACTCTGATTTTTCAGTGAATTTCCTCCTAACTTGCTAATAAAAGCCTCAGAGCCATTTTTCGACAATGTTTGAGTAGTTGCAGTATACCGATTTTGTTGAAACAACATTTATTACAAAGAGAAAATTCTGTTCTATAACCTACGCTCATTCTAGCTATGGGTAATTATTGTTTTAAAATTCATTCTTCTTCATTCCTGTAGACTATGTTGCTGCCTATGGAAGCTTGTCACATTTGACACGTGCTTATTCGCCTGGATGAAATAGACGACTCAACGCAGCATAATATTAAATAAGAATAAGTAATAATAAACTGGGTAATTTCCAACAATTAAGGAGGTAGGAACACATATGAGTTGACTTTCAAGAAATAGAGGAAGCCTCATGAAAAAAGTATGCCCTTCCAAAATTGAAAAAGAGAAAGTGAAAAAACAGCAAATTCTTGTACATTTCACCACTGAGCTGTCATTTGCATGGGTATCTAAACATAGTATTCTACTGCCATTTACAATGTAGATTCTAATTCAAAAGGATTTTTTGTCATTCCCGTCTGCGTGGGGACCTCTTGAAGTATACAAGTGAACTCATGGTTTATACAAGGTCCCCGAAGGATTACTAGAATTTGAAACAAGAACCAACACCAGGGGCCACGGCTATAAATTAAAAAACTGCGCTGCAACTCATCCATGCGACAAAATTTCTTCTCGCTTCGAGTCACTGACATGTGGAACAGCCTCCCTGATTACATCGTTGGCGCTCCAAGTTTGAACGCGTTCAAGAACAGACTAGATAAAGCTATGGAAAATACATGTTCAGACTTGAAATGCCAGCACCATTTTGAACCTGATGGAAGTCTAGTAGATATTTCAAACTAACGTCAGTCTTGAAAATATCCGATCAAAGGACATGCTTTTAGATCTTCTGTGAATTTGTCACGAAAAGTACAATAATCAGCGACAGGCCACATCAGGCCTATTCTTCAGCGCCGACATCGCTATGTTATGTTATGTTATGTTATGTAGTGCAATAATGAGCCGAATGCAGCATTTTTAACTATGTTTTATTCTATAGCAAGAACACCATGGCTATGATTAACATATATGTTATAGTACAAATTTTTGTGTTTCTAACAAAACCGTTACAACCAAATTAGTTTAGTAGAACTTACTAAATTTGTGTTTAAACATTGTCGAAAAATGGCTCCGATGCTTCTATTAGAAATTTTAGATGATTACTGAAAAATCAAAGTGAACTTGATCATTTTTTCATTTATAATGTATACAATGTATACATTGTATACAATGTATACATTGTATCGATCATTTTTTGTGTATACATTGTTACGTATGTTGACAATAGACTGTACACACAGTTAGAAAAAACGGTGAAAAAACGGTCCCACCGGCATCCTAGTGGCCTAGTCCCACCGGCCCGTGAAAATAAACTGTTTCGCCGTTTTTATCAGATGTTTTACGGATTTCTGGTGTTAAATTGGAATAAAAACGGCGACACGGTGTTTCTTTTCACGCGCCGACCGGCCACTGAAATGCCGGTTATACCGTTAACGGTCATTTTTCTAACAGTGCAGATATCGTGGAGATTTATACATTTTCCTCTGATATAGAGGACATTGAACCTGTGAATTTTTTCCACACTTTTGATATTCGGGCAAGTTTGACCTTATTCTACCCAAAAAGTATCAACAATAAACTACTGAGAACATTTGTTTAGAAGCACCTCTTCAAGTCCTGCGGCCACCTCACTCGAGGCCAGCACAGACATGCCACATGCAGCAGTGACCTGAAGTTGCAGATTTGGCGCCGTGCGAACATATCAAGTTTTTCATGTTTCGAGCTGAAGCTTTTTTCTGAGTTTATTTGAAACAGGATCCAACTAATGTGTAAAATGTCATCAACATTTATGATGGTCAGGTGTGACAGATTTTCAATCAAAATTGTGCACTTGGTATCGAATGACCCTTTACTAATTCGAAAAAAATATAAAACATTGTGAAAATTTTTGTTAAATCAACCAGACTTGTTGAATGATTTTTACTGGTTTCATTAATGTCACGGTTCGACAAATTATTTCGCTGCCAATTGACTACACTCTTAATAAAAATAAAAAGCAGACACTAACATAAGCTGGAACTACTTAGCAAAAGCTGACAATTCTTCACCTAATGGTTGTTCTAATTCCTATGCAGAAGACACTCACCGATGATGAGCAGTAGCAAGCAGATGATCGTCGACGGAAACATCCGGGTGGTCCTAGGGGAGTATAACTCTGAATGAAATCTTTGGAAATTTAAATAAAAACGAAAGTCAACAAGTTTATGAAGCCTCTTGAAGGAAAAGTATGTTCAGGAGAAATACCACCAATTATGCAGTGCGCTGGTCTAATAAGTTACCTTATTTATAACGCGCACAGCAGGCTGGTGTTTCTCACAGATTCACTGATTACACGACAAGGTCAGGTATATTCTCATAGCAACAGCTATTCTAGGCGAGTGTTGTGAACGCAACACGTGCATTGGTTCGTACGTGGACTCAAAAATGTCAATATTTTCGAGAAAATTATAAAAAATTATAAAATTATAAAATTATAAAATTATTATAACAACATAGAAAACACTTAGCATAAAAAAACATGATACTAGAGTTATCTTGTTGTTAAGGGATACATTTTGTTAGCATTCGGTGTGGCTGCAGAAAGAAATTCAAGAATTCGTTCCATAGAATTTATTTGCAAAGAAATTAACGGAATAATCAAACCGGAATAATGATGAATCTAGGTAGTTAAAGAATTAAAAATACAATACGAGGACGATTGAATAATGGCGGGAGTATTGGTGCCACTTACATGAATAGAGCTTACGGGAGGAAAGTTTTAGGCAAATATACTGTAGTTCCGAACTGCAAAAATGTACCCGGTAAAAGATTAACAGATGAGAAAGACAGGCCAAAACTACGTATTTCACTTAGAATTACTTATTCCAAAATATAAGATGCAACAAAAATAACATAAAAGTTCAAGTAGGTTATAACGCACCAGTCGAGTGTAGGAGAACGTGATCCGAGTCTAATAACGAGTCTAGCGTTGAAGTTAAGAAAGACAGTTGCGTTGAATGTAGTGGTGGTCACTACAATATCAAATACTTAAATTTAGTATGAAAATATTAAATTACTTACCGTGCTACTTGCCTCGTATATTTACCGTGCTACTGGCCTCGTATATTTACCGTGCTACTGGTCTCGTATATTTACCGTGCTACTGGCCGCGTATATTTATCGTGCTACTGGTCTCGTAAATTTATCGTGCTACTGCTCTCGTATATTTACCGTGCTACTGGCCTCATAAATTTATCGTGCTACTGGGCTCATAAATTTATCGTGCTACTGGGCTCATAAATTTATCGTGCTACTGCTCTCGTATATTTACCGTGCTACTGGCTTCGTATCATGTCGATAAAGAGTATGGCAGGCAGGGTGAGGCTGGCTTGGAGGAAAATTTTTAAGATAAGAAGGAATTTTTGGGGATTAGAAGGCAAAAATTTGCATTGGAATGAAAATTCCGGATTAGATGGACAAATTTTGGATTAGAGGGACAAATTCGGTTTCGAGGTAAGAATTTTCTAATTAGAGAGCAAAATTTGATTTTGAGGAATTATTTTGAATAAATGAGAGGGATGATTTTGGACTAGATATAATATTTTGAAGTAGAGGGTGAAAGTTGGACTAGTGTACGTGTTTGTTGATACACGCACGGGTACACCATTAAAACATTGTGATGCACACGGTACAGCACATTACTAATTATAATTAATAGTATTACTTTCCATTGTCATTACATTTACTACTAGCAAATCTTAGTAGTTAATATTGAAGAATGCCCTATAATTATAATTTTTTGTTAATTTAAAGTCAGAATTATAACCTGCAAGGTTAGCTCGACGTTGCCGTGAGGGTTGCGGGTGGTTAGTTTCAGGTTATATGGGTTAAACTGGCCGGGCTATAAAATTGGAACAGGACTCTCGATCAAGACACAAAATTCCTACAGGACTTTCATGATAATAAATTTCTACAGGAATAAATTATAACCTGCAAGGTTAGCTCGACGTTGCCGTGAGGGTAGCGGGTGGTTAGTTTCAGGTTATATCTTCAGGTTAAGAGGGTTAAACTGGCCGGGCTATAAAATTGGAACAAGACTTTCAGGACACCAAATTCCTACAGGACTTTCAGGACACTAAATTCCTTCAGGACTTTCAGGACACGAAATTCTTACAGGACTTTCCGTACACCAAATTCCTACAGGACTTTCCGGACACCAAATTCCTACAGGACTTTCATGATAACAAATTCCTACAGGTCTTTCAGGACACCAAATCCCTACAGGACTTTCATGGTAGCAAATTCCTATAGGACTTTCAAGACACAAAATTCATACAGGACTTTCATGATAATAAATTTCTACAGGACTTTCATGATAACAAATCCCTACCGGACTTTCAAGACACAAAATTCATACAGGACTTTCTCGACAACAAATTTCTGCAGAACTTTCAGGACACCAAATTCTGACAACGTCATATTGTAATTAATCAAAATTGGTCGTACGACAAAATTTATATCCATTATATACTAATAAAAAGACTGTCTTATCTACTTATTTATATTTATATTTCAAATGTTTCTATAGTATATTAAATAATATATATTAGTATATTACTCTTTTCGTAGAGCCTCTATACCTCGTTTATATCACCGTGAAGATTGCCAATTTATTTAATCGTATATCCTGAAATAAATCCAACAAAGCGGCTTCCAATAATCGAGTAAACTACAATAAATTTTTTTCAATTGGTCATTCAAGTTCCAACATAAAGAAATATTCAAAACGTCAAAAAAAAGAAATATTCAAGTCATTTTCTACAAGTTACGCGGAATAAAAACGGTAGATATAAACAAGTCTTACTAATAAACAGGAATGGATTTCAAGACTTTAATATCTCCCCAGGTAACAAGTACCTAGAGAGTACCAACCCAAGACCATGCTGATGCACCACTCATTGACGGCTACCAAGCACCGCCCAATAGCGACATCGAGAAATATGTTGAGCTTCCCGAGGCTCGAACCCACGACTAGCTCCTCTCATTTCGGTGCGACTACCACTGCGCTGCAATGACGCAAAGTCTCTCTATGGACGTTACAATTTGAGAAATTAGTGAATAGTTGTCCAAATAGTGACGCATTTTTTAGCGCATTGTCTCATTTATGGAAAAAATGGCGCTATTGTGCTCGTCTTGTCCGTCCGTCCGTCCGTGACTTCAGGGAGGGACAGACGGTCGGACGTGAGAAAATGCGCTCGCTGTCACTCACTGCAGTGAGTTCTGATCTCATTTTTTACACATGTGTGGGTCATCTAGACACACACAAGATAAGATAGAGTGACAGGTAAAATTTGGCCTCACAGAATGGAGTAACAGTGTTGCCTAATGCTCGCGCCGTGAGTGAGAAAATGTGTCATTATTTGGACAATATGGCCTATTCATCTTTCTGAGTTTACGCAACCTTAAATTACTTAAATTTTAATTGAAGTTGGGATCCAATAAAATATTTGCTGATGAAGTTATCTTCTTGAAATCCTCAATAGGCATGTGAAGATCTTCAGCGATGTTTTTCAACTACTGATGATTTATAATGATATTCTGATCTACGGAATTCATATTGGCGTTGACAGAAGAGGTGGACTCCAAAGCCACTTCTGAAGCCATAGCTGACATGCGTTGAAGCCTTTTTGGCCAAGGAAACGAACTCGAGCGAGACATGACCACTTCTCTTGACCACTTCTCTTGTCCACTTCTCTTCTCCACTTCTCTTGTCCACTTCTCTTGTCCACTTCTCTTGTCCACTTCTCTTGTCCACTTCTCTT